AAACGACCTGCTACAGTTCGACCAGTGGTACGTCATGTGTTTCCGAGTGACCACAACTGCCACGTTGTCTCACTCCTGCCCGACCATATGCTCGGTTGAAAAACTGTGCACCAACGCCAAGCGTTGCCGAAACGTGTGGATCGACCGCGAAATCGTCAACGCGACCGAGAACAGCATTTCCGTTCTGGTACAAGTCGGACGGCTGCCTTTTGCAGCCATGCTCAAGACCACTGTGGCTGAAGTCGTAGCCGGAAACCGATCAGACTCCAAAACGTACGTGGTCGACACGCTGCCACGAAACGGTCAGTTAGTGACTGAAATTGACGGTCTGCATCCCAACTGCTGGTATCGCATCCAGACATGTGTCCACATTCCCACCCCCTATATGTTCACGGCCGCCAACGTACGACTGCCGAGGGAGAGCGTCTTCTGTTTGGAGGACGAGGCGGTAAGAACTTCGAAAATCGAATACTCCTGGAACAGAAAGTCGCTGGCTCGTTCAGTGAACCCGCCGCTCTTGCTGTTCTTCTTCACTGCGTTGCTACTCACTTCTTGTATTCAACTGTTGTAAATGCTCAGTGTTTTGTGGAAAAAAATTTGAGGTACCTTCAGCACCATCTCTTAATATTGATAATGCAAATATAGGAACATAAGGTTATGCTTTGACCTTCGAAAAATATATGCCAAGTTAATCGTATGACCTGTAATTTGCAGTAATTTCACAAGACATCGTCGTCTCTGTCAGTGAGGGACGCTGAGTACAAACGACCAAGCAAAGGAAACGTGCGGACTAAGAAGCACTGAGGACTTTTCAGATAACCTCCGGATCGGCCCGGCCCATGATCGCATTACTACGGGACACCACGCTGTTTTCTCTTGAACCTGACTCGTCACGACGATAGGCGGCATCATCGAAAGAGTATTGCTAGAAACCTTACTGATCCAGACCACTTTCGTTGTGGACATGGGCTATGGCCTAGAAACGAAAAACACTGACCTACATAAAAGACCTGGAATGTGCATGCAACGTTGAAACGATTGAAAGGAAAATATGGAGTCCTTTCATTGGCGCATATCGAAAGAAGGGGGCGAAAGGCGGAAGATAGCAAGACGAAGCTTGTTGACCAGAACCTTTATTTTCGCACAGCCGGATAGCTGACCTGTTCCTATCAAAGAGAAGAAACCGGTGAGTTCATTCGCTTGGTCGAGGATGGTTTGAACCTTCAGACGTAAGCTGGCCAAATCTGTACAGGACTGCTATCGTGTGTATATATGCTTCCATTCATCAGCAAGATCATCACAAATGTACTGAGGAACAGACCTCTGGATAGAAAAAAGACAAGAACTGGACGCTGCACAACCAAAGAAGCCAGCAAGATTCAGAAGTGGATTTAAGACGATTCGTCATCTCCAGATGGTACAAAAAGTAACAACTTAGACCAGCAACGATTTCAGCTTCTGAGTTTGGCATTCGACGATTTTGAGAAGTCCTTTGACTCAATTTACAGTCGTTCAGTGCTGGATTTCTTGAGGAGCCAGGGACATCATCGCTTTGATTTACAAAAACGTAGGTGCTAGTGCAGAGCTTCGCGAAAGCACAAGGAAGTTCAAAATCGGATAGGCGTTCGACAGGGCGATGCAGTACCGGCGAGGTTATTCACAGCAGTTACGAAGGAGTTACAAAGACACCCCTTTGGGAAAAGAGAGGCCGGGCAAAAATGAATACTACTGCTTTAG